ATTTCCAAAGATCTTGAATTGTGAGGTGGCCTGAGTGAGCTCCCCATGCTGCCTGGTGTATCTGTCACAATCACACCTGAGGGTAGAGGAGAGCTGAAGGATACATCTCTGCAGATGTTCTTAGGCACTGTCCACTGCTATCAAGTGTCCTGGATATTTTAGGGCATGGTCACAAGAGACTGAATAGGTGGGATTTAGTGCAGGAGGTCAGACGGGATGATCTGGTGGTCCCTTCTGACTGTAAGCTTTATCATCATTGTCGTGCTGAGCCTGATATACTGACCATATCAAGCTCCAATACATCTCATTCTGAGTCTGACACACAGCATTTACACAGAAGCAGGAAAAAACAAAACTTAGAAAGTCTCATGAAAAATCACATGGTTGATTTATTGACTGTGAGTTCTCACAGAGTCCACTGATCTCTGCACCTCCAGAAACCTGTCGTCTGGTGAGTGAAGTCCACAGTGTGAGTCAGAGAAATGGCAGTCTCCTCGCTGGAGCATCTACCGACTAGAAGAGGGGACAGACACGACTCCTGGTGGAGACTGTGGTCAACATTTCCAAATGTGAATGTCTAGTGTTAGGCACCTAAGCCCATATTTAGGTATCTAAATAAGTAATCTGATTTGCCGAGTTGCTCGGGACTTGCAGTTCCCATTTTCCATGCTGGGCAGTCAAGTGATATAACATGAAGGATCAGACTGTCTGGGTCTCTGTTAACTTAACACGCCTCTTCGTGTCTCTGAGATCATTCCTCACAGTCAGGATTATGACTTGGCTGCAGACAGTGATGTCATGTTTAGACTGCTGGGCCAAGCTGCACTGGGCAGTCTGAGCAGAGTGTACAGTCATTTCAACACACTGTCTTGAGGCTTCTCTGCCATGGAGTCTTTCTATACATCTCTGAATCTCACTCAAAGGGTACATCTATACTTACCTCCGGGTTCGGCGGTAAGCAATCGATCTTCTGGGATCGATTTATCGCATCTTGTCTAGACGCGATAAATCCATCCCGGAAGTGCTTGCCGTCGACACCGGTACTCCTGCTCTGCGAGAGGAGTACGCGGAGTTGACGGGGGAGCCTGCCTGCTGCGTGTGGACCCGCGGTAAGTACCTTGTAGTTCGAACTAAGATACTTCGACTTCAGCTACGTTATTCATGTAGCTGAAGTTGCGTATCTTAGTTCGAACTGGGGGGTTAGTGTGGACCAGCCCAAAGGGTTGCATTACATCCCTGCTGTAGTTTGTGGTAGTGTTTCTGGGGGACGTGCATGTTTTTTTACTGCCTAAACTCTGTTCAAAGTCTTTGTGCTTTAGTTCAGGGCCATACTTCTCATTGTTTTCCCTGGCCAATATGTAGTAGCTTGCGTTTCTCCACATTAAATCTAATTGCTATACATTGTCCCAGTTACAATATCCTCTTGTTTGCTACTCAGAGATTGAAACATTAAATCACTTCTGTTTACCTGTCTCAAGAAACGGAATTTCCAATTCAACTGCCAAACACTGGTAAATAAAGTAAATCTGTTTAAAATAATTGGCAGCATAAATATCAGCCTATTTTAAAGTGGATTGTGTATATTGCAGAACTACAAAGCACACACAACATTTTTATCTCTTTAGTCAACAGAACAAACACCAATTTTTCAGCAGTAGACAGATGTCACTTAAATGTTTGAATTTCAGTTTTTAGCACCTTCTATTTGCAGGAAATGCATATGAAAAACGTGCTTTGTATTCACCACTTTGCTATTTTAAAAATAAGACACAAACTGATTAAAACGGATCAGTTTTTCCATGCCATACTGATCCCATACTTTCACTTTCATGTGATTTTTCTAAATGGTTGGACAGCTGAATTATCTGCAGCATATTAATCAGTCCACAAAATTATTATAATAAAAAATATTTCTTAGCACTTTCCTCCACAGATTTCAAAGATCTGCACAAAAGTGGTTAAGCATTATTATCCCCATTTCACAGATGGCGAAACCGGGGGGAGGGGGGAGGGCTAAATAGACCAACATACCAGAGTCCAGCTAGAAGAGGTTACATCAACCGTGTGTTTCAGAGTGTACTTATAGTAAGCCTCTTTTAACCCAGGAAGCAGAGTGTTACTATGTAAGCACGAAATGATGCCAAAGAATTAAATGGCAATTTCCCCCCCCCCCCCCGATGTTAAATATCTAGTACAGCAGGCTGGAAACCAGTTTCAGAAATATGCTGTCTGACTGGTCACTTTCTCTTCTTTGAGAAGGTGTATGTCTGCTGACCCTTTATTTGCAGGCCGAGTTCTCCCTGCTGATTTGACTGGAGAAGCTACAGCTTTGCCTCTGAGCAAGCTTGGTAAGAAAGGGGCCAGTCCTCTACCTTCCCATACGAATGAGCTGCTATAAACTCCAAGAATACGTCAGTTATCATAGGTATCTGCGGAAAGGACCTTGCTGTAGGCAACAGAGTATAGTTATCGGGCTGTACACATGTTTCTCAGGAGACTTCCCTTCTGACGTGTCCTATCCATAAGAGCCAAGGGGAAGAACAGCATCTCCATCACCATATTGCCCTCACAAAGTGACCGATGGGTGGGTTCTATTAGCCCCTCTTTGGAGAAGAGGAACAGACAGGCTTTCTCTGTTCTTTGAGTGACGGCACGTCTGCCGATCCTCTACTTGTAGGAAACCATCAGTAGTGAGAGGAGTAAAGGCAGGGCTGATGAGGATATGGAATTTAGGAGCTATCTAGACTATGCAGACAAACAGGCTAATGGTGCTACCTGTGAATTGAAGACCCCTCTGCCAAAGGCTCTATCAGCAGACCTGGAAGTTGAGATTATAATGGTTACAAAAAGTATGCATGCTGGACCAGGCAGCTGCCTCATTGCTCATCTGCCATTCCTTTCCACCCATGATGCTGTGGTTATTCAGGACAAGTAACCTCCAGTTCCTTCAAGCACGGAATTCCTTTGGCTGTGCATGCCTCGCTGACATAGCTATAGATCCAAGTAGAGCTGCTATTCTGGTGCGTTTCCTGGCCCACACACCTCACATGATAGTTGCTAAACAGGACATTTGGGAGTCCCTCCTAATGTCTAATGGGCCATAGAAATGTCTTGACCAGGCTCGGGGGAGTGTCCATAGCTACCACTATGCGGTCTGCTTTGCTTTGGAAATATCTGAGTTGTGACACGGAGACAAAGCATGAGGATTATTACTGCAGCACCCTGGCCATTGCAAGCAGGCTGAGGAGTGGCTTAGTGACCCCGCTCCAGGGCATAGCTTCTTTGCTTCTGCAGTTGACAACCTGTCCAATGAAACAGCAGCATCACTTCCCTGTGGAACCTGGCTCCTGCCTCCCCTCTGAGGTAGAGTGCTGCTCCAATCCATTCTTCCTTTGCTCTCAAATTCTCTGTCAGTAGGTCTGTAAAGCTTTGCAGCTGGGGGAAAGTGAGCAGTGCCTATGGTCTGTATAGACAGGAGTGGGATCCATCAGTTCTTTGGCCTCTTGTTCCCCTACAATACCAGCTGTCCTGACAGCCTCTTATGGGATGGCAGTAGCCATACAACAAAGGAATGTTAACTCCGTACATTTGCATGTATCATAAGACACCAGACAACGCACTGTTTTGGTGACCTGTAGCATCCCGCTGTCGGCAGTGCACTAAACTACACACAGGAGCTAGTGCCTGCCAGTCCAGCAGTCTCAACTCATTGTCATTAATATTACTGAATCAAAGAATCCCACCTGTTTATGGCCCATCATCCATGCAGCCCGCTCACAGTTTTGCATAAAATACCTTCCAAAACAATAGCTCCTAGAAACATGGGCTTTGCCATCCTGAATCAAATCAGTGCTCTGTCTCTGCAGCTTCACAGGAAGGTGCAAGAAACCCTGCAGGAGGCAGTTATGGGATAAGCTGTCCATAGAGGCAGTTTCTTCCTGTCCCCCTTCATTTAGAGATTCACTCATGCCCTGATGCAGAAGGTGTAATGTCCCTTCCAAAACTCTTGGCTTTTGAAATCTGTGCTATTGTTACTATTATTGTTATGTAAGAAAGATGTGGACAAATTGGAGAGAGTCCGGGGGACAGCAACTAAAATCATAAAAGGTTTAGAAAACATTGGCATGTTTAGTCTTGAGAAATGAACACTGAAGAGGGGGACCTGGTTAGTGTCTTCAAATAAGTTAAGGGCTGCTAGAAAGAGGACATTGATCAATTTTCTCCATCTCCACTGAGGGTAGGACAAGAAGTAATGGTTTTAATCTGTAGCAAGGGAAATTTAGGTTAGATATTAGGGAAAACTTTCTTACTATAAGGATACTTAAGTGCTGGGATAGATTACCAAGGGAGGTTGTGGAATCTCCATCTTTGGAGACCTTTAAGAAAAGGTTGGACAAATACTTGCCAGGAATGGTCTAGGTGTACTTGGTTCTGCTTCAACGTGGGGGTATGGACTAGATGACCTGGTGGGGTGATTTCCAGCCTTACACTATTATGATTCCAAATATGGATATTTTTGTATCCTTATAAGTGACTGACCCTTTTTTGAATCCTGCTAAGTTCTTGCCTTCAGTGATACCTTGTTGCAATGAGTTCCACAGGCTATTCAGGCACTGTGTAAAAGAGTACTTTCTTTTATCAGTTTTAAATGTGCTGCCTTTCAATATCACAGAATGCCTCATTGTGTTCCTGTAACTCCACAAAGGGCCTATGGTGGGGTATAGGGGACCATGTGCATTTTTCATAGATTCCAAGGCCAGAAGGGACCATTGTGATCATCTAGTCTGACCTGTGAAGAGCAACTGTGAATTTTTCCTCATGAACTTGAGTTACCGTTGCAGCACACTGTGCTATTTGTTAGGTACCACTTTAAAATGTAACTGTTTAAAACGTGAGACACTTTTCGTTTCTCTTCACACCCTCATCACCTCTGCTTTCCAGACATTCAATGTGCATATGAGATTTCACAAGACTGCAACTCTAGCAGAGAGCGCGCCTACCTTCAATCCCAGATCTAGCTCCTTAAGGGAGCGCTTTATCTCACTGGTGAGGATGTTCATTCGCTCACATTCCTGGAAGGCAACCACAATGTAGGGCGTCCTCTCCTCCACCTTTGCCATCAGCTCCAGGATGTTAAACTCATCTGTTAATTTCTCTAAAATCTCATCCAGAAGAGCCTTCACCTGTTTGCCAAAGGAAAGAGAGAGAGAGGAGTGAGTGACCCATGTGCTTCCTCTACTGAATGGTGGAAGAGAGCTCCACCTGCCACTTACTGCATCGGAAAGTAATCAATGTCTTGCTGAATCATGCATGGCACGTTTCAAAACAGCTTGTTCCAGCCTAGGAAAATTCAAATGCCTACCAAACATCATGTCAAATGAGGCTCTTTTAAAAGGACTATTTATAAATGTCCACATGACATGGCATACTCTATTTTGCATCCAAGTTTGCATTGCTCCTTTTTCCAAGGCCAGGTTCAATGCAGGAAGATGGATGAAGCTATGAAGGTAAAAATCAAATACTGGTGCCTCCAGGATTGCTGAATTTATGAACTATTCTTTAATGTTTTAGTGACAAAAATGGGAGATTATTTTAAATGGAATTTTAAACTGAATTTGGTATTCTGAATGAATACAACATGGGGAAAAAGCATAACAAAGCAAGTTACTTCCTGTCTCCTTCACAGCTGGATTTGGAAATATCATTGTTAGTGTGTAACTAATAAACAGAAAACGCACCAGGAAAAACTCCAAAGCAACAGGCTGGCATTTTGTGTATGGTGTGTTCTGGGAGTCTGTACGTATGCCAGCCAGACTGCCATCCCCTGTGGTTGATGGCTGTGTGCCAGCAGAAGCCATAGCCAGATTTATTTGCAACGTTCTCACATCTTCTTCTTATGGTTTGGGTAGATAGCAACAACTAAAAATGTGTATGTGCTCACATGATGATAATGAAGGCACTGGAGCGCAGAGGACCAGTTAAAGTCAGGCCCTAGCATTGGCTATGGTACAATTGCACTAATATGGCGAGCGCCTGAAGAATGCCAGACTGGTTATTTCTGTTCCTTGTACACACTATACAAAGGCTGACTAGGTTATAATAAAGGGTCATGAGAAAAACCAGAGATTAAAATGCAGCCAAATTAAGCAAAGTCACCCAAGTGGCAATGGCTCCCTCCTCTGCCCATCTTACCTTTTCTTCCCTCGTAGCCCCTCCTCCTTCGCCAGCGTTGGTGTCACGAGGCTGCATCTCCAACACGGTGCGGAAGAGTTTCTCTGAGGTCTGGGTTAAGAAGCCGATTTCAGCATTCGGATGGAGACCATACAGGTACGGAGACTCGGCAGGCAGGGCATCGTCTATGTACTACACAGGAAGATCACACCTCCCATTATTGTTACGTACAGGGCCAGGGACTTTACACTTACTGATCGCATTGATGGGCTGGAAAGCCATCACACACAGTCAGCCCAATGCAGCGTATCCAGCTGGACTGACCGGCAGTGCTAACAAACTGCTAGGAAGCAGGAGGGTGGAATTAGTAAAGCCGCTGGAATAATAATCATTTCTGCCACAAGAAAACAAGTCTGGCCATTGTTGCAGGATGTCTTGGCTACATATCTCAGAGCTGAGCTTCTTCTACCTTTTTGTTTGCTACACATTTGGGCATCAATACCCTGACCTCTTTGCTGGGAATTTCACTTCCAGGAGTAGAGATCGTTTCATCAGTTTTATGAACAAAAACGAACTAATACGCCAGCCCCTGCTGCTGCCTCTGCACATAAAGAACGGATGAAATCAGTAAGTAAACATCCAAGAGTCTTGAGTGTTTCTCATCAGATCCAATGCTAAAAGGAGCTTGAAAGGGCCATTTTAGCAAACGGTATGCGGATGTAATTTTCCACTAGACCTGCTCAAGTCCCAAGAACCAATACAGTTGTTCTATTCATGCATGAACAGAAGAGCTCATGATGAAGTATCAAATTACCATTAAACTTGGCTCATCCAAGGGGATGCTTAACAGTCTACAGAAAAAGAACATAACAGGAAATAATACAAGATGAGCTGGAACTCTGCAATCCTATTCACTGTCTCCTATGACAGATTAAAAGGTGATTATGGAGGACATTAAATTCAGCAATATAATTAATACCAGCAAACAAAGAGGCTACCTGGTGATAACCATTGTAGTCCATGTTCCCCGGGAGAGGGAATCCTGGAGCTAGGAAGAGCTCTCCCTCCAGCATTTCTGGCTTAATAAATTCCTCCAAGTAGGTTTTGCAAAGTCGTCTGTCCCAGTCATCTGTGATGTGGCCTCCATACATAATCTCACCGAAGAGGTAGCGCAAATCGTCATAGGGGACCTAAATAATGAACCAAGAGGGCATGAAAGAGTCCACGCAGATGCAGCTCCACTGACCTCATCATGCGGCTGCAGACTGGAAAGCAAAGAACTGATCTACAGGGTGAATGTTTTCATTTCACCAGTTCATTTTTCTAAGTAATTGAATATCATGTAGCAGTTAAATCACTCCATGCAGGAGAGCGGCCCAGAGAAATCCAGCCTGCAGAACAGACTTTGTGGGGTTTCCCCGATGAGAAGCGAATCTCTTTGAAGTTCCATACATTAAACATAGATGTCTAGGCAGCCAAACATTTCCAAATATTGTCCCTAAAATGGCAGTGAGGAGACTCGCACATGCCAGAGCTGATATTTTATCTAAGTGTAGTTTGTAAGCTGCAACAGATGCAAGTGGAGCAGAGGCCGCTCTGTATCCCCCTAAGATACACTGAGTTCTGAAGCTAGAAAGCCTGATGATGCCGGGGAATTGGCACTTAGTGAAAAGGATTTCAGATGTTTCAACAGACGTGTAATAAGCATATGGGCTACAATCTGCACACAGAGCCAATTTCTTTGTTTCACGCACCTTTGAATTGGCCTCCAGGTAATTGTACAGCACGTTGACTGAGATAGTGAGGTCTCCAGTGTTAAAGGGGTAGGAGCGGTTCCAGCCCTGGGGCCCAAACTTGCGTCTTTCTGCCACCACGGCATGGAAATAACAGAGGGCAAACAGGATGCTTTTGAACTCGTTCTCCCGAGCACACATCTCCAAGGTGTCCTGAAATGGAAACAGAACAGCAGTGTTGTGCATTTCCACCATACCTTCCATCTCAGGGCTCTACCTGGGTTGCAAACTCTATTGAATACAGGGCATGGCGAATCCTCTCACCCAGTGGCCCTGCAACGTGGCACCCTCATCTACTCATTTCTGAAGCATCTAAGCAGTTTGGGGTTTTAAATGAAGGTTTTAGCCCATATAGTACTGAACAAACCTTCCAAATGTTCCCTGGTGCAGTGAGGAGTGCCCAAGTCTGCAGACAACAGAGCTAACTGTGGTGCAAAGCTTGGGCAGAATGCATGGCCTGGGTGGCTGGGCTGGGCCCTGGTGAATTCCACCAAGGCTGGGGGAAGAACCTCGCTTCACCACATACATACACTTCACAGCCCCGCTCCAGCCTCAGCCTCTCTGAGCTCTGATTAACTCATGAATCAGAGTAGGTCCCTGGTTTCTATGGGACTGGACATGCTATGGCAGCTTTCTATGTTACTGCAATATTAAATACCCCCTGAAGCACTGAG